GCCGCGGCCCCAACGGCGACCGCCGAACGCTCCCCCCGCCGACCCGGAAGCGGAGCGGCGCAAACAGGAAGCCAGGGCGGGCGGCCACCGGGCATGCGCGGGAGGGAGGAGGTCGGCGGAGGAGTGTCCGCCTCTTCCCTGAGGCGGCGGCCAATGGGGAGCCAGGATGCGGGGCGGCGGCCAATGGGGAGCCAGGGCGCGGGGCGACAGGGATGGCGGCGGGGGCCCTGAGGCGATGGCTCTGAGGGGATGGCGGGAGCGCGGGCAGGGGAAAGGGTTCCGAGGAGCCCTGCGGTTTAAAACCAGCCTGTGCCCTTCAGCTTTTACGAGCACATAAGGTCCCTCTACCCTCCCCCGGCCGCTCAGTTTGCGGTCACGGGGTTACCCTCGTGTGGTGAGGCGGCGGCCGGGCCTGTCCCGCCTTCAAGCCTGCGCCCACGGCCCGGCCTCACCTCCTGGGACCGGCGTTTATTGCTTTGTTTGTCACTCGTGCTCGCCTGTAAGTGTACCTGTAACCAGCAGCGCTTCCGAAGGGAAGCCTTTGCTGTTTTTAACAGCGGTTTAACAGAGCAGCAGTTGCTATCAGTGTACATGCTGTACATGCCTTCCCCTCCCTCATTTTGACCCAGTTTAGCTCCGGTTTCCAATTCACAAATTTTGTTAGCGTGCCTTGAGTTTTCGTACCAGAATACGTCTCCAGCATGAGAAAAAAGAAAAAAAAAAAAAACGGGGATGGCGGCGGGGGGCCCTGAGGCGATGGCTCTGAGAGGATGACCCTGAGGCGATGGCTCTGAGGGGATGGCGGGGGCGCGGGCAGGGGAAAGGGTTCCGAGGAGCCCTGCGGTTTAAAACCAGCCTGTGCCCTTCAGCTTTTACGAGCACATAAGGTCCCTCTACCCTCCCCCGGCCGCTCAGTTTGCGGTCACGGGGTTACCCTCGTGTGGTGAGGCGGCGGCCGGGCCTGTCCCGCCTTCAAGCCTGCGCCCACGGCCCGGCCTCACCTCCTGGGACCGGCGTTTATTGCTTTGTTTGTCACTCGTGCTCGCCTGTAAGTGTACCTGTAACCAGCAGCGCTTCCGAAGGGAAGCCTTTGCTGTTTTTAACAGCGGTTTAACAGAGCAGCAGTTGCTATCAGTGTACATGCTGTACATGCCTTCCCCTCCCTCATTTTGACCCAGTTTAGCTCCGGTTTCCAATTCACAAATTTTGTTAGCGTGCCTTGAGTTTTCGTACCAGAATACGTCTCCAGCATGAGAAAAAAGAAAAAAAAAAAAAAAGTTCTGCAGTTTCCAAGGGCTGAATGTTCTCTCTTGAGAACTAGGTAGCAATAAATGTCAGAAAGCTGGATTAAAACTGACATTAGGCATAAGCACACCAGAAGCCAAACTCCCATTTCCTTAATCGAATAAAATCCTCACTGGTGAGGTTTATGTGACCTCACTGGTCACATAAACTGGGTGTGCTGGCAAAGCCCTCTCCTTGGTTCTCTCAGTACGAACACCTTCATGCCATGTGGTTGACTAATACCCTGTAATTCAACATCAAGGAAGTGTGGAAAATGAGCCCAATTAATCCCTGGTTTTATTTGATGTGTAGCAGGTGCAGAATCTGAGCTGGAGTTCAGGTTGCCAACAGATATGGTTAACTGGAGGATAACAAAGAATACCCACAAACCCAACAGGGACAGCTGTAAAGTACCACAGCTGTCAAAAAGCAAAACATGAAACCAAGAAGTTCAGGGTTAACTTGAAAATTGAGTCCACTGTTCATAAAGTATTTCAAACTTTCAGTTAAAGTGCTCAGATAACCTTAACTTTGCTCTTCCATGCTCTAGTTTTCTGTTTGCTCCTTACAGATGTAAAGTCTAGTTCTAGAAATCACGTGCACAAAAAAAAAAATTGCAATTGTTGAGTTATTACATTGCCATATAAATTGTGTTGATCAAGGGTTTTTTCTGAGAACTTTACAAAGGTCAGAGACTATTGCCCCCAATATATTAATTATCTAAATTATCTTTGTAAAGTGTACTGTATTAGAATGATAGCTAAATTAACTTTTTTTTTTTCCAAAAGGACTTTGTAGTTAATATCCATAAAAAAATTAACCTGGGAGAAGGTGCTGGATTAAGTAGTTTGTCTGTGGAGCGTAATGCTTTGCCTTCTGTGATCTGTACCAGTAATGTTTTAATTTTCTCAAGTTCACTAGTACAAACCCTTTATTTATTATTATTTATTTTTTTCCTAGCACTGTTCTAGCTTCTATTTTCTGAAGCCAGAAGGGGAGAGGAGTCCACTCAGGAGCCAAGCCAGAGCTCTGAAAGTAAGGGGAAGGACTGAAATTGAGATGCCAGAGACACATGTATGGAAAGGGGTAAAGTGAGACCTTATCTGGAGAGAGGATCAAGTGGACAATGGAAGGAGAAAGAAAGTTTGGAGGTGTCAGAAGCTGCAAAGGTGCTCAGGTATGTCAGGGTGTATAAGAAAGAGAATAAAGGACAAGAAATGTAGAAAGGCAGGTGGTGTGGCAGGCTCATGGGGCATATAATGGAGTAGGAAAAACAGAGGGATGACAGAGGGAAAAACAGAGGAGCAGTTGCCATGAATAGCAGAGAAGCAAATGTGAAAGAGCTGGAATGGTCATCTGAAAAGCTGGAGACAGACTTGTGGCTTGCAGGCACGTGAAGATAGGGGGAACGCGGAAAGCATGAGCAGCTGCGGATTAGCAGGATCAGGGGCTCCTGTGAGCTTGGAGATCAAAGGTCTGAGCAGGTTTTCAGTGCTGTGTCCTTTGTTTACATAGCATTGTTGATGGCAGGGAAGGCAGTGCCTGCTGCTTGGGGTAGGGGGACAGTCCGGGAGCGTTCTGCCTAGCAGCCTGGTCACAGTGATCACTGTGTAGATGAGGCCATTTCTCCAAAAAAGCCACAGAAAAGTATGAATATCTACAGCCCCAAGAAAACTTAAAATTGATAGTTGGAGCTGTACAGTTGGAAGGAGGGTAAGGTACCTCTACTGTGGACACTTGGAAATATTATTCTTATTTGCATACAGATGGACCAGTACACATTCTCTTTATTTAATGAACAGACGCTTGGAAATATTATTGTTATTTGCATACAGATGACCAGTACACATTCTCTTTATTTAATGAACTTATTTCAAGTAATAGAACTAGCCATGAAAACCAAGTGGTTAAGGGTTACAATTGGTTGGTTGAGTCACTGACTATTATTGTGACCTCAGAGCTAAGAGTAATGTGATCTGTGGGGATGATCCTAATTACAACCTTACTATTAGATATGCAATTATTAATATATACTTACGAGCTAAATTTTGGAACACGGACTGTTCCTCTGTTTTCCGTGAAATATAACTTCTATATATAAATGTATTACTAAGTTGTGACAAAATGAAAAATAAGTGAATTCCTCAGCGAATAAATGTATCTCAAAGTATTTTCTCTGAAAAAGTAAGAAAAAAACGAGTCATGTTTTATCAAAACCAAAGATTATTGGCAAACCTGAGCAATAATTACTCTTACTGTGAAACAGCATAAGTAGCAGCAGAAGGTTAACCATGGTGGCATCTCCTTCATGACTCAGAAATCTTAAAGACAGTTCAGTGAATAAAATATATCTCAAAGTATTTTCTCTGAAAAAGTAAGAAAAAAACGAGTCATGTTTTATCAAAACCAAAGATTATTGGCAAACCTGAGCAATAATTACTCTTACTGTGAAACAGCATAAGTAGCAGCAGAAGGTTAACCATGGTGGCATCTCCTTCATGACTCAGAAATCTTAAAGACTGTAAGGCAGGAAGGAAACTTTTTACGATGAACCCTGGATTAAAGATACCCTGTCAGCCTACAGGCATTTTATACCTCATGCACAACAAGACTGCTTTATAGCAGAATGTTTTGTAGGCAAGGACATCGTAAGGGCTGGTGAAGCTCTAGATGCAATGTCTGCCCATTCCTTATGCCACCTACAGGAACAAGTCTAGCATGTTGGACTTCCTGCTGATACACAGAGATACCTGCATTGCATGTGCAGTGAATTCAGTCTCCCTGAGAGATCCCCATATATATATATTGACAGGCTGAGAGAGCTGGGGTTGTTCAGCCTGGAGAAGAGAAGGCTCTGGGGAGACCTTACAAGCAGCCTTCTCGTACCTAAACAGGACCTACAGGAGACATGGGGAGTGACTCTTTATCAGAGTGTGTAGCAATAGGGTGAAGGGTAACAGTTTTAAATGGAAAGAGGGGAGATTTAGATTAGATATTAGGAAGAAATTCTTTGCTGTGAGAACATGCTGGACTTCCTGCTGATGTACAGAGATGCCTGCATTGCATGTGCAGTGAATTCAGTCTCCCTGAGAGATCCCCATATATATATATTGACAGGCTGAGAGAGCTGGGGTTGTTCAGCCTGGAGAAGAGAAGGCTCTGGGGAGACCTTACAAGCAGCCTTCTCGTACCTAAACAGGACCTACAGGAGACATGGGGAGGGACTCTTTATCAGAGTGTGTAGCAATAGGATGAAGGGTAACAGTTTTAAATTGACTCTTTATCAGAGTGTGTAGCAATAGGGTGAAGGGTAACAGTTTTAAATGGAAAGAGGGGAGATTTAGATTAGATATTAGGAAGAAATTCTTTGCTGTGAGGGTGATGAGGCACTGGAACAGGTTGCCCAGAGAAGCTGTGGCTGCCCCATCCCTGGAGGTGTACAAGGCCAGGCTGGATGGGGCTTGGAGCAACCTGCTCTAGTGGGAGGTGTCCCTGCCCAGGGCAGGGGGATTGGAACTAGAGGATCTTTAAGGTCCCTTCCAACCCAAACCATTCTGTCATTCTTTATCTGCAGCAGGTTCAGCACATCTGACATTGAGCATCGTGTGGCTTGGCTGATTGCATGACTGCTAAATCTAGTGCAAGACAGGCAACAGGCTGCAGCAGGTTCAGCACGTCTGACATTGAGCATCGTGTGGCT